CCAGGAAGCTGCACTTTGAATAGGTGGTCTTGGGTATGGGCTCTGAAGAGCATGGCCAGGAAATTCTTCAAGTGGAAGGAGTTGTGCTTGGGAGAATGGTGAGACCAGGACCCGTAGATGGTACCTGCTGCTTAGGAGAGGGTCCTGCCTTGACGCTTCCCAGCTACACAGTTCACCTGGGATCTTTTCAGCTGTACATCCCGATTTGGAAGGCAGGAAGTAGAAGTTGAAGTTCTGAGTTTCTACCAAGCTCTCAGGGGATGAAACTGGGAAGTGAGAGCCCAGGAGAGGTTCTTCAGCAAGCATCACAATTACCTGAAGAGGGAGGCAGCTAGTTAAAGCAGACCTTTGTCCTCCACCTGGTTTCTGGATTGAGTAGGTCTGGGATAGGAACTGAGAAAGGGCATGATTCAACTTCTACTGATCCTAGGACCCCACATAGTGGCTGGGATAGTGAGAAATGAATAGCACAGGGACAGAATGGAACAAATGAAGCCTGAAGCATCCCTACAGAATACAGGGCCTCTCTCTCTCTCTCTCTCTCTCTCTCTCTCTCTCTCGTGTGTGTGTGTGTGTGTGTGTGTGTGTGTGTGTGTGTGTGTGTGTGTGTGTTGGTCCTGGAGTTGAGTTCTATGTGTGTCAGCCTAGGTACTGTCCCTGAGCTTTTCCATTCAAGTTATCATTTGAACTACAACTCCACTTCTGGATTTTTGGTGGTTAACTGGAGATAAACAGATCATGCACTTTCTTGTCTGGGCTGGCTTCAAACTGAGATCCATAGATCTCAGTCTCTTGAGTAGCTAGGATTATAGGCATTAGCTACTGCTGCCCACCAGTCTCTTAACTGCAGTTGCTTTGTTTGATAAAAGCACTTGTTCTTTGTTCTCTCCAAAGGAGTGTGAGGCAGAGTGGGGAAAAACCAGGGAATTTAGAGTTACAGGAAGTTAGAATTCTAGCTTAATTGAAATAGTCTCTTGCTTGGCAAATAAAATATTCTAAATCCGTGATTTCCTCCTCACCCCCACATGTTCTGGCACTGAATTGCTATGTAGCAGCAAGTTAGGAGAAATTCATGATGCTGCCATGCCCACCTTCAAGTCACGTGGCAGCTACTGGGGTGAGAGAGCTAACTCCTTCATCTTCCTAAGACTCGGAACGCGGGGCCCATCATGGACCCACATCACTGCTCTTGGTCACACTAGTGCCTTACCTTCTCACAAGTCCTCCCTGGATCCTCCTGGGAGCCCCATCCCTCAAGGACATATGGCAAGGACACCTGGACAGCTGTGTGCTCTCTTCCTGTGGGCCATGGTTCCTCCCCTGCTGCTGACCATTTCCTATCTGGTGGCCTCATGCTTGCTCTCACTAATACCTGCAAGCAACTCAAGACCAGGATAGACAGTTCTTTCATTCAATCTCTGCAGACTCCCCACCTCTCCAGAGACCAAGTCTCCCCAAGCACTCTTGTCCATAAATACTTGAAAGCTTCCATATAGAGTTGATGCCCTGTATCCCTATGTTCTGCATAAAAAAACATTTGTATCTATACTGAGCATGTACAGTCATTATTCCCTAAGCAATGCAATAAAGCAACCATTTATATGCATTGCAATGTGTTAAATATCATAAATTTAAAGTAAATGATGGTTATATAATACGATGATTATATAAATACTTCTATCTTAGATAAGGAAACTTTAACCTATACAGGTTTTGGTAACCCCAAGGGTCCCAGAACCAATCTTCCATGAATACTAAGAGACAACTGTACCCTTTTCTGGCTTGGAAAATATAGACACCATCTCATATCTCAGCAGCAACTTGTAAATGACTGCTTCCTGAACAAATGGTCTAAGCTACAACCCCTCCTTCTTTGGAATGCTCATAGCAAACAAGTGCCTCACAGGCCAGTGCCTCACGACCCAGGAGGCTTCCCACCTGGGTGGGAAGATTAGGAGGCTAGATGGATGAAGCTCCTGACCTGCTCCACTACTGTTCATCTGAACTGGGCCTAAGATTTGGCCACAGGCAGAGGGAGTAGTAAGATCTGAGGAAGGACTTCCAGATCAACAACACAGGTTATTTGGGGATGAAAGCGAATGAGGAGGGAAGGAGATTGTATGGTATGGAAGTATGGGCTGGGGCAGATAGGAGGCAGGCATCTAAATTGACTGAGAGCAGACACAAGATCTCTGTGGAACAATTTGGTATTTTTTTAACTATGCCCAACAGCAAGAAATACAATTTTCTGTCATGACCTACCCCCGCCCCAGAAAATATATATGCATATATGTATACCTGTGCATGCGTATAGTAAAACTGAAATTAAAAGTTACACAATAGTAATTACCATGTTACATGTGACAGGGCTGACATTTTTTATTCTACTGAAAATTACTGGTCTCAGTCTAATAATTTGTCATTACAGTTCCCTACTGGCTCATGACCTGTGACAGAAATAACTGCCTCACTGGGTCTTGGGTATGTTCCAGGCATCCAGGCTGTGGAATTCTGCTCTACCATTCTCTCAAGCAACAGAGTGCCTGCTGTGTGCCTGTGGGAGCTGGTGTATCCACAGAGGAGAGAGCAGAGAAGAGTGACATATACAGACCAGAGGGCTGACTGTACAAGATGGTGGCAACCAGGGCAGCTGCATGCTGCAGAGATCCATCATGTGAGGACATTCAGCCACCAGGACAAACATTGCCGCTTCCAGGGCTGAACTTTGAAAAGCAGACAGCTCCCAGCCTGACTGCCCCATTAAGGTCCCTGTCCCTCTCTCCTCCAAGAATGGAGCCCTTGGCTCATTCTCTTCCCCTTGGAATAGTCTAGAAGGGGGAGGAAGATCAAGTGACAGGAGGATGGGGAACAACAAGATGACCAGGTTGATCTTGGCAGCGTTCAGATGCTGTGAGCCTCCGGGTTTTTCTGGAGCCAGGCCAGAGCATCTTTGTGGAGGTTTCTTAGGACAGATGTCCTTCTAATGTGTTTGGGGCCTTTGTTTCAGAGCCATTTGTTCTCTACTTACTGAGCTAAAGGTCTAAGGTAACTCATGTATCTCTGAGATAGTTCTCATTTAAAATTTGTTTTATTTTCCCAGCACCCACTGAGGGTTCTGAAGGGGAAAGATAAACCCCTTGGAAGGCATCCAAAGCTCCTACTACTGTTATTCCAACGAGATCCTTCAGGGAATCAGCTACAACTTGAGAAAAGCAAAAGCTATTTCCACAGTGAAGAACATGCAGCTGGAGGCTCTCACCTCCTCCAACAAAGAGCCATGACAAATGGGGGCAGGGAGATGGGGGACAGTGGAGAGGAGGCTGGGAAGGTACTACTAGGGTTTGGGAGTGTTAAAGCTCCCAAGTAGCAAGAATGGATCAGGGAGAGAAAGAAGTAGGCAGGGCAATGGCTGCCCTTCCACATTTCCCCTCCCTCACACTGGGGAGTGAAAAATGACCCAAGACTCCTGCAGTGGGATGGCTCCCTGGGAACAGTAAGGCACCTGCTGCTTAGGGAAAAATAGAGGCCTCTACTGGACAGGGGTAATTCTCCTATTCTCCTGCCCCAGGATCTTCATATCCCCCAACCTGGCCCACGCTGGGCTATGCCACAGGCTGAATTGGAAACAGCCTAGTCACTGCTGTATCTCTTGCCTGGCCAGCTGTGCAATAAGCACTTGGCCTTGAATTTCTCTTCAGTTTCTAGGTCAGTCAAGTAGGGGTGATCACCCTGCAGATGCAATGTTGGTAAGCTGTAAGATGATCCACGTGTAACAAGTTATTACTGTCACTGTAGAAAGGCAGAGGCATGTGACTGTGGAGCTTCCGCTGCAGGGGTGCTGCTGTGAGATATTATCTCTTGTGGGGAAAGACGCATGGCCCACCTTGCCTCCCAGAGACCAGTCAAGAAAACCCCATGACAGATATGAGGTTGAGACTTTGGAATTATGTGTTTTCCTCTTGGCACTTCTACAGTTTCTCTGCAACCTGATGCTCTCTCCTAAAGTCTTAAGACCGGAGTTTACTCATCCAAACAGACCTGGGACAGCTATCATGGACAGTTCCCACCTCCCACCCAGCCAGGGTCTGCCTGCTGTGGGGCTCAGAGATGGGCTCATCACAGCATGAGACAGCCATTCCTATTAGGCAGTCCAAAACAGCCCCCCCCCACTCCCCTCCCCCCAAAAATAAAACCCCTTGCTTTTAGTCAAACGACATAATGACTATAAAGGGACTTAAAAAAATAAGAACAAAATTGAAAAAGATTAGAAGTAATAGCAGTAGCATTAGAATAAGCATTAAAGTTAGAAGCTCAGTGAGGTGAAATGCGGCCAGGCCAGCTGCAGGAGCAAGATAGAGAGATGAGGACCCAGAGACACCCAGCGAGTGTTCAGCTTCCTCTGGGAAGATGAGACTGCCGGCTGAAGAGGACACTCAGTTCTTCAAAGTCTTGATGAAGCAGATATGGAAGTGCTGCCAGAGAAGGGAGGGTCTTCCTCCAACCTCAGCAGACCCCAGCTCCCTGGGGCTGTAGTTTGGAGAGGATACATATGGGATTCTTGGTCTGCCCCCACCCACCCACCCACCCACCCACCCGTGGTAGGACCACAAGAGGCTGGGAGAGGGTATGCTTACACCAGAGAGAGGGTACGTTTACACCAGGAGCCACACAGAAGGTATTGTGGCATGTCTGCCCCGTGGCCCATGCTCATCCACATGGAGGCCTCTATGAAGGCAGGGGACTCGGGTAGGAATCAATGTTGAAAGGGTTACAGTTTAAGCATCTCAGAGATAGCCTAGGCTGACACATAGAGACCCAGAGAGGGATAGCTTGTGGTCCACAGTAGCTCAGCTCTTTCAGGAGCTCTGATCATCAACCTGCAGGATCACACAGTGGCTACCTTCTTAGGAGTCCCTCTCCTGACTGTAAAAGCGGAACCTCAAAGTTTCAGGCCCTGCAGAGTCTCATGCAACAGCAGCCCCAGACTGAGCTGGACTCACCCACAATTTCATTCTCCTCTAGGTTAATAGTCTCCAGTGCTGGCAGGGTGGTCAGCTGCTCAGGGAAGTCTTGGAACTGGTTCCGGGACAGATCAATAGACTTGAGGTGTTGCAGGCTGCTGACCTCATTGGGGAGACGATGTAGGAAGTTCCCTTCCAGGCGGAGTTCTGACACATGGAAGAAAGGAAAGAGAGATGAATGGGAAGGGGGACTGCTCAGAAGGGCATCAAGGAAATCCCAGACCTCCTCTCCCCTACAGGAAGTACTCTCAAGTAACTGATTCCATGTGTGTTCTACAGGAGGGTAATGTGCCCACGGCTGCCATGGCCTGCCACCATCTTTCCAGCAGTGATTGGTTTCTTTTGTGTTAGAATGAAGATTTTCCTGACAGAAGTCTGAGACTAGTAGGAGTCAGGATTCTGAGATGGGCAGTCTACCTAAGAGATACCCAGTTTTCAAGTCTTTCCCTGATCCAGGGTTCCGGGGGGCAGCCAAGTTCTTCCGTGTGTCATGTGTCCTTATTCTCTGCTTAGTCTTCACTGACCAGACATGGATGGATCCCTGCCCTAGAGAAGCTGCTCCAAAAGCTGACTAGCAACCTAATCAAGGGCCTGTGCATGAAGAGGTTGGGCCAGACAGTGACCAGAGACTTTAGCATAAAGGCTAAAGCTGAAATGCTGACAGAGAGGCTGAGCAGCCCCTGGGGGACCTATGTGAGGGGGAGAACCAAGATCAACAGGTGGGAAGCATAAAGCAGGGGCTGAAGGGGAGAATGGGGAATCCTGTTGCTTGGTGCCAGGCCCAACCTGCCATCTCCACCTGTTTACTCAATCACTTAGCCTAGTTAGGTCTCAGTTTCCTCATTCGAGCAGAAGGCTGATAAGTCCTGCCTCACAGGACCACTGAGGATTGACTGAGTCTGTTAACACAGATAAAAGCACCAGGAGAGAAGTAAGAGGGGGTCCTAGCTCCCATTCATATGTGACCATCCTGTGAGCCCCTCCTCTGTCTGATTCAAAGGAAACAGAGGATCAGGAATGTCATATGACCTGAAGAACATCTTCCCCCTCTTCTCTGGAGGCCCAGCTTTGTGAGCAGATGACTAGTGCAGCCATACAAGATCTCATGCTCAGAAGGGGCCTACCCTTGTGGTGGAATGTTCTGTAAGGCCTTCTCCAAAGTCTTCATCATTTTACCTTTGAATCTTTGTTCAGTAAGTATAACTAGGGTGGTAGAGTCTGAGCTCAAACACAACCCTGCCTTCCTGGTCCCTCTGGGGTGAGCTGTCAGTAGCTCCTGCTCCCTGGGGGGAGGCCCTGGATTTGCTTGGTGTCCTTTAGTTCCTATTCTGTGACTGATACAACCTCTACCCTTAACAGAGAGTCCAAGTCAGGCTCTGTGTTGTCAGGAGATCAAGGTGGGAACTGTTCCTAACCTCTGGCCCAGAATCCTTAGTATGCCAGTATCCATCAGTATGTCTGGTAGGCGGCCAGCTAGAGGCTAAGTTTTGACAAGTGTAAGCTCCCACCCTCCTGAAGCCTGTCCTAGCACCTACTGTGTTAAAAGACTCTTGGAGTTATCTGGCTGCTATGGGATAGGCCAGGGCAAAGCAGTTGGAAAAGAACAGAAAACAGCTACTGCCAGGCCCAAGAATGCTTGTGTGAGAGAGGAGGCCTTGCATTAGGGGAGGCCCTGGGCATTTGTGAGCCTGTGTTGTCTCTGTTCCTCCTTCCAACCTTTCCTAGCAAGGCTGGAATTCTTTCTGGCTCACTCAAAACACCTCCAGGAACCAGGCACATAATACAAGTTGTATAATTTCCTGATCTCATATGTGAGCTAAATGCTCTGATAATGGCACATAAAGCTAGTACACACAAAGCTAGTAACACAAAGTTGAATGGTATAATTTGCTCTTAGTCTCCATTTTTTTCTATTGACAATGACATTAAGTAACCAAGCGCAGAGTTGGCAAAAGAAAGGAGGCAGCTTTCCATTCACTTTAAGGTACTTCCCTCAACTGGCAATTTCTTTTACAACTACTTAAAGATAATAAAAAAGTTTTAATTTTTTTAAAGTCTTGTACTTCACATGGGGGGAGGGAGGGTGTTAAGCCATTATAATGCTAGCCCCACCCCTCCCTCAGGGCTCTGTACTATTGTACAGCTCCAGAAGGTGACCTTGGGTTGAGGGAGATGCTCTTAAGTCCCAACAGCCCACCAAGGTTTGATTGTACACACCTATACTACCAGCATTCAGGAGGGCAAAGCAGGAAAATCCAAGTTTAAGGCCAGCTTGGGTAACACAGAGAGTTCCAAGCCACCTGGGTGGGCCTACACAAGGAGACCCTGTCTCCAAACAAACAAACAAACAAAACCCTCCAACAGGCTCAGACCTGTAATCCTAGCAACTCAGGAGGATGAGATCTGAGGATCAAGGTTCAAAGCCAGCCTGGGGAAGATAGTCCATGAGACTCTTAACTCTAATTAACCACCAGAAAACTGGAAGTGGAGCTATGGCTCAAAGTGGTAGAGTGCTGGCCTTGAGCGGAAAAAGCCCTGGGACAGTATCCAGGCCCTGAGTTCAAGCCTCAAAACATACAACCAATCAATCAATCAAGATAAACAATTTGAAAAATACCAAGCCAGGCTCCAGCTATTTGGAACCATGATCCTTAGATCTCAGCTTCCTGACTTAGCTAGGATTACGGGGGTGAGCCACCAGCAACTGACTTTACTGTATCATTACTGAAATGTTAGCCCATCTAAAAGAAAAATTCTTCCAGCTGGTTTCTGTCTCCTCCCCCCTACAGTACTCATTTCCAACTATTTCCCAACTGCTGACCTCCTCCCATGAGAACACTGTCTGCATGAATATGGGGCTTTCAGAAAAGTACTCACAACACTGCCCAGAATAGTAAGCACTCAGTCAATACGAAGGCCTCAGAGACCTTGTCAGGCAACCTGCCCTGGCCGAACTAGCTCTCAGGCTAGCAGCATCCCTGGAAAAGGGAGCCTCACTTCCCTGGAAGGTTCTGATTGATGCTCATGGCAAGAACTTTCATCTATCTAATCAAGGAAGGTTAAAACCAAGAGGTAGGCTCTATCTGATACCCTGGAGGTGAAAAAATGAGGCCCACCACCCATCTTAGTAGCTCTCAACATCCTTCATACTCAAGATAGCATGCTTGGGGTCATATTTGGAGCTGAGTGAAAGACAATGATGTCTGTGAGAGGCACAGACTGCTTTCTGAGAACTCCCGTGGACTTGTACCTAGGGGCACTGCTTGCTGCTAATGTCCATGTCAGAAAGCACTGTGTGTTGCTTCTGCCTGGCTCCAAAGTCCTAGAGACAGAGACTAGATCAAAGGGCTTTTGACTGGTCCCACTGCTACCTGTGTCCGCCCACAAGACACAACCCCATCTGGTGCTCACATATCATGAGGGCTCAACTGAGTGCCCTAGGAAAAGACTTTGGGTCTGGGCAGGGAGGGGCATTGGTGTCTACTGGTTTTCCCAGGATCCCTTGCTGCCCCTTGCTTCTCACTCCAACCAGGTCACTGCCTGCTTCTACTACAGAGACCAAGACCTGTGGTCAGGAAGCCCTAAGCTGGAGAAAAGAGCAGCTTCCCAAGAAAAGTAGACTGGAGCCAAAGGAACAGTGGGCAGGAACTGAGGGATAAATGGCCGAAGAACCTGGGCAGCAGTGCTGATATCATCCTGAAGTTCTTTGTGGACCCTAAGCACTCAGCACAGGACCTAGCATAGGGCATGCTGATAGAAGAGAGCACATATTTCTTGAATAAATGAACAAGCAGATGGAGGACCATTAGATGGTTACAGGCTGACTTGACCTGAATTCCCTACTCTCCCTGCTATTCCCAGGTCCGCACAAGACTAGCCCTGCAGTGGGGTAGTGTAGAGGTAGGGAGAGCTCTACAACCATCAGCTGAAGGAGGAGCTTCCTCTATAAGTCTAGGCTCAGACCTTCCCTCTGTCCAGAAACAGTGGGGTTCAGAACACAGTGGCTAGCCTCTGTGTGATCGTGTCAAGCTGCCAGATAAAATGCAGGACATGTCAGGCATGGTGGCTGGATGATAAAATTCCTCTGCTTTCTTCCTACTCTCTTCTGCCAGAGTTCACCATTGCACTCAGATGCTGAGTGCATCATGTATTGCCTATTCAAAAACAAACAAGATGGACTTCCAAATGAAGCGGTGGAACGTGGCAAGTGTGATCGAAACACAAACATCATTCAGAGACAGCAACAAATGGAGTGGAAAGACGGGCTATGAGGGGCCATGAAGCATTCTAAACTGTAGAGCAGAGCAAAGGAGACTTGCTGGAAGAGCAAGGGAGAGGACTGCAGTCCTCTGTCACAGAGCTCAGGCCCTGGAGGGTACAGACATAAAATTGATTCAGTCACAGGTCTGCCCTCTCCCCTTGTGTACTGATGGGCAGAGGAGCTTGTTGGAGCCAGCTGTCTTCCAGGAGGGAGGAGGTGTCCCCTGCTTCCAGGGCAAGAACACCTATCCAGGCTCCCTCCAACAGCTCTCCTGGGGGACTGGAGTTGTTCCTTCTAGTTCTGAGTTGGTTGATCTCTCTAGCAGATGTTCTGCTCTATGTAGCGGCCTTAAAATGCATAGGCTCTCACCTCCATAATTGTATCTCTGATTTTAGCCTAAGGATGTGGAGGCCTGTGAGACTGGGTTCCTTAACCTCTGCTAGGGAGGATGACCCTGCTGATAAGTGTGCACACAGAAGTCCTGACAGGCCTTTGCTCCACTGAGGTCATCCAGGTAACCTCAGGGGCCAGAAATCCTTCAGAGCTGATGGCAACATCACATGCGAGGAGCCACAACACCATCACTGCCTCTGTATCAGAAGGGTCAGCAATAGGGGAGCGGCTCATTTTGCACAACTTAAAGGAGTTGGACCCTCCAAGACTCCTCCATTCCAGGGATGGAAGATGTGAGGGAACAGAAAACATGGTCCCCAGCAGTAGATCTGATAGCTCAACTACAACCAAGACATCAGAAGCTGATTTCCAGGTCTGCCAGGATTCCATGGCACATTTCTGAACCGTCTTTGGTTCATGAGGAGAAGTAAACTCAGAGGACTGAAGCCACGTGGGAAGTGGGGCAGAACAATGCTCTGTGACTTCATCCTCT